TTCCAATAAGCTAATCCTCAACTTTTCAAGTCAGCTTAGAAAATCAAACGGGCAAATGCAATAGGACTTAGGAAGCCTTGTCTCAGCCCCACCAAATTAACTTCTTCTGTTCAGGTTTTCCAAGTGTCAATTTATTACATTTCCATTTTTACGTGCAAAAAAGTAATTTGTCGAAAATTTACTCTTTTTTTTGTTGGTTATCTATGATGTTCGATGAAACGTTTCATTTTTAAAAGGATTTATTTTGCGTTGGTTAAAAATTCACCTTAGATTTATTTATGATTTATTGACAACCAAACCAACTTCCATTCGAACGATAACGACGATTCACGCACCTGACACCTAAGGACGCTAAAAAAGAGACTTAAATTCACAGAAATCACTAAAGTTGGCAAACTATTGAAACAAACCCGGCGAGGAAGGTAGACCAAAATACAGGCTTAATTTGTAAATTTCATGGCAAATAGAGCCTAAAAACACAAAAATTGATCATTTGTCCAAAACATTTGTGGATATAATTTGTGGACTGTATGTTGCAGTTGAGCGAAATGCAGGTTGAGAAATATAAAACTTAACTATGTAAGTTTAAAAAATAAATAACATGGTTGGTTATTATGTATTGATATTCGTAATAGTTTTGGGTCAAGATAGTACGACGTCCAAATAAATCACTTATACGTTTTAACCTACTCTTCTTCTGAAATTCGTAGTTTATTTAAATGAACTCGATTTTCATTTACTCGATGAATTCTGGATAAAATCACTAGGTCAGGCTATTAAAATATGTACGATGTCACTGCCCGAAAGCATGGTTGGCTTATAAATACTTTTGGTTCTAGACTTACATTTTGTGAACAGTCGTTTCGATGGCAAACAAGGCAAGTGCCCTGGAAGAAAATGGTCGTGTATCTTGCATTTAAAATGCACAGACCAGTTGAAAATTTATCATGTACATTCTTTAGGAGTGAAATTCAGGTGTAGTCAGTCACTGGAACTTTCTATGATATATTGTTTTTGCACAAATTGTTAAATAATTATTTAAACTGTACAAACCTATTAAATAGAATATATTTCAATGTATAAGCTAAAGAAACTAGTAATTGTGATATATTTTATCTCCAAACAAACACTACCAATTTTTGGTATGTCAGCCTTATGAAGATCATATCTCATTATCAACCAACTTAATCTAAAAAAGTTGCCATCTCTAAAAATTAGTTTATAATAATATTGTATATATTACAAAATTGTATTTTTTGGTGATGGCTGTTGATGCAGTAAACAAAATTGTTATTATTAAAATCAAAAGAGCAAATGCAATAGGATTTAAGAAGCATCCTTGTCTCAGCACAAACAAATTAACTTCAAGAACCTCTGTTCAGAATTTCCAAGTTCGAAAATTTCAATCTATTATATTTCCATGTTATAAATATAAAAAAGTGCAATTTGTCTAAAATTTAGTCGTTTTTTATATTGTTCGGTTATCAATGATGTCAAATTAAGAAATAGTTGAAAAAAACGTTCCATTTTCTAAAGTTTATTTGCGCATGCTAAAAATTCTCTTTAGACTTATTTATCATTTATTGACTTCCAAAACCATCTTCCAATAACCGAATCGTTAACTTTTCAAGTCGTCTTATAAAATCAAAAGGGCAAATGTAACAGGATTTAAGCCCTTGTCTCAGCCCCAAAAATTAACTTCAAAACCCTCTGTTCAGGTTTTCCAAGTTCAAAAGTTTCAATTTATTACATTTCTATTTTATACGTGCAAAACATTTGTCAAAAATTCAATATTTTTTAATTTTTGGTTATTTACGAGGTTCAATTAAGAAATAGTTCGATAAAACGTTCCATTTTTAAAAGGATTCATTTTGCTTAGGTTAAAAATCCCCCTTAGATTTATTTATGATTTATTGACATCCAAACCACCTTTCATTAACGAAATCCTTAATGTTTAAGTATCCTGCAATTTTCCAGCAAGAATCTAGAAGTTTCTGGTTAACAGATTTTTTATGTCTGACTAAGGAAAGAGCGCGTTTTGTCTATTATTAATTTTCGTAATGATTCCATATCGGGTCAAGTTAGTATGACGTCCAAATCACTTAAGATAAGTTTCAATCAAATCAACTTTTTAAATTCATAGTTTATTCATATGAACTCAATTTTCAATGATTTCTAGATAAAATTACTTGGTCGGGCGACCAAGTATATTTATCTATTTCACCGTCTTAAAAACATGATTGGCTTATAAAATCGAAAAAACCAATGCTATAGGACTTAGCAGTCTTGTCAGCACCACCAAATTAGCTTTAAGAACCTCTGTTCAGGATTTATAAGTTTAAAGGTACTGATCTATTTATTACATTACATGTGATATGTGAAAAAGCAATTCGTCAATTTTTTAAAAATTGTTTGGGTATCAACAGTGTTCAAAAAAGAAATACTTTAAAAAAACTTTCTCTTTTCAAAAGCATTTATTTTGCGTAGACTGAAAATTATCGGTAAACTTATTAATGATTTATTGACTTCCAAACCTCATTCCAAAAACCAAATTCTTAACTTTTTAAGTACCTAGACAATTATGTTACGGTAACAGTGATGAGCCCTTGACCGTTGTGGCCACCGACGCCCCTGATAGTTAATACGCACATAATTATGTTCTATTATTAATTTATTTCGCACCATTTTGGCAAATTCTTCAAATTTATGCGTTTTCTTATATTCTTTACATTAAATGGTTCATTTTTTATTATTATTACCTTTTTTAACGAGGGTTCGCAACAGCAGAGGTCTTATCAACCCTTGTCGTCAGTGTTTTTGAGTGCAGGGCAGCTGGATTCGAACCCGGGACCTTTACCTTACAGTGAACGCCTAAACCGTTGCAGTCATCGACGCCCCCTTTTAGTTTGTTATCATTTTCTACCCAACACCCAACCGCAGTAGATTTAAAAGATGTTTCAAACATGCCCGTTCGACAATACAACAAAACTATAACCCATTATATTCGAATAATGCGGACCGTTGCGACAAAAAATAAACGGCCACCCGTTCGGCGGGATAATCCAGGGAGGTGGTTCGGCTTTCGGAAAAGTCGGTTCCCACAAAAGTAATTTGCTCTTGACCTCCTTTTTATCGAGAAAGGGATCTCAGGACCATGACTCCCATCAGTTGGTTTAATGTAACGAAAAGCAATTTTCTGTCACGCAGGAGCTTGTCCGGGTCTCCTGGAAAAAGGCGGACTTCGCCGATTTAAACGGGAATGTTGTGTTGTATTATATATTTTCAAAAGAATAATATCTCAACTCACTTACAGCAATTTAATCTGATCATTAAGATGTATGATCTCCTGATGAACAAATATATATTGTAACGAAATACCATGTCCCGTAGACTTGTAGTTCTTACAAATTTTACAACCCTTCAAAAGAATAGAATTTAAAAAAAATGTATTGTCGTATTATAAACTGCATCTAGACACGCCAAGTTACAAATAAATTAATACAACTAGTCTTAAAAAATAATAACATAATTATCACAACAAAGTATCATGGCATTGAAGAACTAAAAAATTAATTTCGATCATAATAGATATATATTTTTTATGGCATATAAATACACACCTCAACTTTTTTAAATATTAATTTTCATAATTAGTTACCTTCCATCGGTTTTATTATTATTAGCATTAAATTAGCAACATAGTTCACAAAATATTCTCATGCAATCATTTTTTTTATTACTAAATTTGCTCTTTAAATGCCAATTGAAACTTTCAATTTCGTCTTTTTTTTTTTCAAAGTTTTATTAGAATTATTAAAAGGTATTTTTACAATAATACAGTGTAGTAGGTTAGAGTTTTTGGAGTTAATTTGTTGGTGCTGGGACAAGGCTGCTTCTTAAGTCCTATTGAGTTTGTTCTCTTGATTTTATGAGCCAATCTTCCGGACAATAACATCAATATGGTAAATACGGTAATCTATATTTTATTATATCCTTAAGTGTTAGATAGCAATTTTAGCTGGAAATCCTTGAAAATTGAGTTCATATGAATGAACTAACGAATTTCAGAAGTAGAGTAGGACAAATTAGACAAATTAATAACAGACAAAACTTGTTCTTTCCTGGCTCAGAAATACAAATTTAAAAAATCTACTAACCAGAAACATCTAAGTTCTTGTTTGAAATTGAACAGGGTACTTGAAAAGTTAAGAATTAGATTTTTGTAAGGCGATTTGGAAGTCAATGAATATACGAAATGCACAATAAACTATTAAATAACAATATTCAAGATTTGAAAATGTGTATTGTTAAGTAAATTCGTTGACAGTAAATATCTACCGTTTTTACAAATATCTGTGGTATAACATACATTTTTTGACAATAATAAGAGTACAAAAAGCTCATAAATGGTTAACTAACAATATTCAAGATTTAAACATATAGTCATATAAATATATGTGTAAATATATTTGCCCTCTTAATATTCTTAAAAAAATGTTATTTATTGTCAAAGGTTGGTACAGATTTTTTGTATGCAGTATGACGAAGTCCATACCAATAATTTTTTTTTTGAAAATTTACTGCCTTCTATCTTCCTAATCATTTTATAATTATTTTACTTCCTGACATACTAATTTTATTCTATTAAACTTATTTATTTATTTAGACTTATTTAAATAAGCTAATGAGTTTTACCAATAATTTGTTATGTATAGTTTGGCAACATACTCACTTAAATGTTATTGAGACTTTTTCTCTCCTATCTGGCAATATTTTTTGCCAGAAAAATTAAACATTAAATATACATTACCGATATAAACTATAAAATTATTAGAGAGTACATTTTGGATTTTCTGTTTCTATGTACCACTATTATGATGCTTACGGTTTTTTTTATACTGAAAAAAATATTTATTCATTAAATGATCGTTGTGTTAACCTTTTGGCTTATGGAAAGTCCCGTTTTTAAATTTTTGGAATTTTTTTGCGACGCCACTTACCCGGAGGTTGGTCCAGATGCATGGGCAATTCCTTCATGTTCACATGATACTGTTCAGTTCACTTTTAAACTAGCACTGGCCGCCTGTCGGTCATGCTTCTCCGACCGGGGGCCCCACCATTTCTTCTCCTTCCTCTTCAGGACTTACTCTTCATCTACAGCTCGGAAACGCCAGACGGACTTAACAGATCGTTAAATATACTGACCCTAAATACGTTTTTTTTTTTATCTAGGTGAAGATTTTATCTGGCCGTGGAAAATTTATGTAGACGTTTTTGTGCAAGTCCAGAAAAATAGTTCAACAGGCAGCTGTTGCGATGAACTGTTACTTCTATAGATTTTACCCCGGGATCGGATAATATTTGATGATAATAGTGTGATTTCTTAAAATCAAAACAACCCTGGAAAAATAAACCTTTTGGATTTTGAAACTGACTACTTTTCGTTTCGTTTGCGTGCCAATGATTCAGGAAACACAAACGCATGAGTGACCAAACCGGACGACCGGAGGAGCCCACCCTAGCAATTAGCTCAAGAAGTAGAAATAGTACTTAGTCCCTTTCGAAAATCTTATACCGCACATTTACAATAACAAAAAATAAAAATAAAAAATAAACATCAAAACTGATAATTACAATATCGCACGGATGAAACTCCGAAATGGAAAGGCGTTTGACCTGTTACGCCTTACGTGCTTCATGCAAAACACTTGTACAAACACTCACATCCGGTTTGTGAAAGATCAAAGGCCCAGAGCGGATCGGGATCCATATGGATTTTAATCCTAGTCTGTTTAAACAAATCCGAAGAAAAATTAAACGTAAATTGGTTTTAAAAAAAATTTTCGTGTAGGCATTCTTAATAACTTTTTTTAGATTTATCGTAAAAGGAATATTTCATCTATTATGAGAGATAATCTTTTGATTATATCTCTATTTTTTAATTATTTATAACTCCACCAATTTCTGCACTTAAATTATCGTGATATCGTGACTTTCGACTGAATAATCATCAGGAGGTTTATTTAGAAGGTTGCTGGACGAAAGATTTCTGACAAGGGTTTGTAGGGCAGGATAATCTTTTTTGCAACTCCTTGTAGCTGTTTTTGGCCAATTCAAGTACATATTGGATAATAATATTAATAATACTTTATTGCAAAAAAGAAAAGTTATAAACATTACATAATATATAATTTAAAGTATGGAGGGTCCGTCTACCGGAGGTCCATTTTCATTTGACTTAAATTTTTGGTCGACACAGAGAAAAAAGTACAAAAGAAAAAAATTGATCCTTAAATAAATATTACAATTGATAATTTAATTTTTAATAATTACATTAATTACTAACAGACATTATAAACAATAATTTTTGTTCTTTGTTTATTTTACAATAAATATAGATATATAAATTATTTGGGCCAGCAATTTAGAATGACAAGGCTTTAAAATATACAAAAATTAAATTCTAATATTAACTCTTGGCGATAGTTGCACGCCAGGGGTGGCGAGCATATTTGATTAAATTTTTGTAATCATTAAGCAGTAAGTCAATAACCTGTGTCACGTTCAATTTAGCGTATTTAGATGAAGAAGCCGAATCTCCGATAGGATAGTGCATTTTGCAATAAAATGCACTATGTCTTCTTTATCCTGGTCATTGCATAATGAACAAATTACATTTTCTCTTGCCCGAAAAGGTGCACCATTGGGATAAAGGAGGTCCCCTCTGATTTTGAATAACGACCTTAACTCGACCAATGACAAACCTTTAGATCTGTCCTTAAATAGGTTAAACATATTAAAATCATCTTGGTAAAGTTCCTTATAGAATAAAAAGCGCGAGGTTGATCTGACTTGTTCACGAAGTTCTTCACTGAAATTGACACTCAATTTTGTTATAATTTCCTTAAACTGTAAAGGCCACTCATTCAAGTTATTTATAGAAAATAATGAGTCACATGATAGATCCCTACACATGCTATTCCAACGTTCAAACCACAATGCACCACGACTAACGACTTCCAGGACTACTATTTCGGAAAGACAGGAAAAGAAATCAGGATATTTCAAGAGTTTAAAGATGTAATTAAAATGAAATTTGAAGGTATATAAAAATAACGGGTCAACTTTAGTCTCTAAATAAATCATAAAATTCGGGGTAGTTTTGGGAAGGGCAAGTAACTTTCTAATGAAAAAACGTTGAGCTTTTTCAAGCTGTTCAAATTTTTCATAGCCCCAGACTGTGAGGCGTAACGTAGTATCGAGCGGCAAACTGAGTGGAATAGTCTGAATTTCACTGGAAATCAAATTTTGGGAAACTAAGTCGCGCCATATACAGTTCAGAGCCCGTTTCGCTGTAGACGCTTTATTGTTGATATGATAATTGAAAGACAGACGATGGGATAGCGTTACACTGAGATATTGTTATATTCCTTAACAATTTCAATTTTTTTGTTATCGAAAAAAAATCGATCTTTTAAGGTTGTTGTTATTGGTAAGATTGAATGCATAGAAAGGAGTGTTTGAGATGGCTTGGAGGATTTGGGATTGTAACGATTGACGTTGGTTAAACCCCAAATTTCGATTCATGTCCAAATGAGTTTCAGAATCCACACGTAAACGAAGAGTTTGTTTTTCAGACCTAGTTTTGATCATTTGCCCAGCAGCCTTTTAAAAAGTCTGAAGCATGTGTTGAGTTCTTGTCTTTTGAGTCGCACTTTGTCGAGTAAATGTCAGTGTTAGTGTCGTTTATCTATATGTAGACTAACGCAGCGGACTGCATAAGTTGGTGGAGTGAATACAATTCAATTCATATTTTTGGGCTTTATCCTCATTTTTACAGCTTTAACCACTGCCCAGTGGATGCGATATGGGCTCGCAGGTTTCTGGTTGAGATGATGATCGGATTGGTAACGTTAGTTTCAAAAAGGGTACGAATGTCGATGTATACTGTGTAATGGTTTAAACTAAGATACTTCCTTGAGGTACTCCTGCATTTTTGCGCTGAAAACTTGAAAATGCCTGTCTGTTAAGTAGGATTTTAGTATCAAGTAGTAGGTTGAGGGAGGATCTTTTTATTCTTCAAAAGTAGCCGTGCTTAATACTCGACCAAAGGCTTGCTTCGTATTTAGGAGTCCACCGGAACAGCACTCCTGTCGCTCAAGATTGGTTCTGATGATATCTTCAATACGATGGCCTTGGATTATCTCAAAAATATTACTTCAGGATTTACAGAGAATTAAATGGTTACGACTGTCTGAATCAAGAGGACCGAAAAGCACATAGAATTAGTTTAAAAAAAGATTAAATAACATCGTCCTATGTTTTTATTATTTTTGTTTATTATTTTATTAGTTTATGTATTGTACATACAGATCTCTCTTCGTTCCTCCATCTTTTTTCTACTACTTCTCGTTATCTCTTTCTCCTTCTCTATGTCTCTTCCTTTCTATCCCTCATGCTCTCCTTTTTTCCCTTCCTCTCACTCCCTCTCGCTCTTTCTCTTTCTCCCTCACTATATTTACGACTTTCTCTCGCTCTGTGTCTTTCTTATTCTCTAGTTAAAATTCTTCTCACTTTCTCTTTCTAACACTTTCATCTTTATATCTTCTTGCATTCTTCGCACTCCCTTTCTTTCAGTCCCTCTCGCTCTCTCTTTTTTCTTCACTAGCTCTCATCTCTTTCTCACACTTCCTTCCTCTCTCTCTCTCTCTCTCTCTCTCTCTCTCTCTCTCTCTCTCTCTCTCTCTCATTCACTGTTTATTCATCTAACTATCTAACTATGTCTGTATGTATCAATTTTTCAAATTTACTCACTACATGACAATTAATTAAGGTTTTTAGTTGAGATGAAAAAAAGTTAATGGCACGAGAGGGATTCGAACCCACGACCTTCGGCTAGATACGCCGCTGCTCTTCCACCTGAGCTATCGTGACCTCGATCCACTCGGACACAAACTCCCCATCTCAACCTACTATATAGTAATAAGGTGTTGAATTTATTTATCTGTAATTATTTGACCATCAGGAATGACCTCGATCCACTCGGACATCAACTCCCCATCTCAACCCCACCTTACGAGTTTTCCCTCCTTTTGCCATTTTTCAAGCGGACCACGAAAGTAGTGAATTAATGATTTAATCACTACGTCTTACTTTTATTCTTTTTTGCTAGTATCTTATCCTTTCCATTAATATAACAAAGGAATAAATTTAGTAATATTGCAGGTTAATATGAGCCACATTAGGAGTTTGACACTAGTGATGGATAATATTTTCGTATCGATTCTTCTGACAAATCGTAAGCTTTTTTGAAGACGATATTAAACACAAGAAAGCTTTCATGTACTTTACACTACTTTGTCAACACTGCCTGATAGAAACGGAATGTTATTTTTGGCTTAACCATTGGGTGGAAGTCTGGTTTAGCGCAATTGATCCTCATTAAAACATAAACGTTTTTGACCGTTTTAGTTTGTTATGGCACTCAGTCTTGGTATTGACCAGCAGCTAAAATAGGCTTTCCGAACAAAATCGAAATAGTAATAACTATTAAATAACACGCGGCATTGTTTAGACCGTCTTGTCGGATTTCTTATTATAAACAGCTTGTTACTGAGAAAATGTTGAAAAATATCTGCTATTGCGAAATTGAAAAATGTGAAAATATATCAAATTTTTCGCCCAAAAGAAAAAAAAACGCCGTGGAGGCCGATAATTCCGAAGCTATTGGGCTTAACGATCGGTAAAAATCCGATTTATCATTTGTCAACTGTGACCTCGTTGTCCTAATGCAATGCGTATTTAGACACGGTTATTTTTTACAGGAAATTTTATATTCAGTGGAACATTGAGCAAAATAAACAAAGCCAATATAAGCTATATATTCATTGCTATGATTTATGCACAGTGTATTTCATATTTTATTTTATTTTTAACATATACTTCTAACGAATTGACTTGATACCAGCGGCTTAATAGAATTTAAATTTGATCTTTGCTCAAAATAAACTTTGAGTAGAGGAAGGAAACCAAAGAGACCAATTATTCACTCTACATACCAACACCTTTTTCTAATAA